TCTCTCCTAACAAATAGCCATCTCCTCCTGGTCCTCGACCGTCTCAAATCTCATTTCTCAGTAAGATTTGGTAAACAAGCGGTACCGATGATGGGTGGATGGAGGGTTGTGCGCGGCTGCATCCTTCCGCGACGGAGGCTGGTGGAGAACTGACAGTTCTGGTTGCTGACACGGCCCCTCGCCCAAGGTCTGGGTCGTAAGCGCATTTGCATTGTGGTCCAGAACCTCGAGGGCTTATGGGTTCTCATGCCTTCCCGGCCGCGATCAAATTTCAAACCTAAAATTCGCGATGAAAATGCCATTTTTGGTACAAATTCGCCATAAACAAACTCGGCCAATACGCTCGTATACTGTCCGTATATGCCTGCTTGCCAATTTTCACAGCGATTGCACCAATTTTATCAGTTACCGTCGGGCAACCAAAGTGTGAGCATAGACAGACAGACGGACGGACGGACAGGGCAGAAACATAAGTGGTCTCTTTCCTTTCAGGAAAGGAGGCTCACTAAAAAAAAGCGAAGGACGCTGCTCTACAGAACAGCTTTTCACTCTACACTAGATTTTCGAGAGACATGGGGAATGTGCCACAGAGGTTTACAGGTGTTTTGCGGATCTCGAAGAGGCGCACGACCATGTACTTCGAGGGAAGCTGTGGGGAGTGCTGCAGAACCATCGAGTATCAGCCCAGAAAATAAGCAACTTCCACATATAATGTATGGGCTGACTCAAGATATTCACATATAAGTTATGGGCATATGCGAGATATTTGACCCACTTGCATTGCGCACAGGAGAAATTGAGTGGCATCATGATTGGCGTATTGTGCCATTTTCTGAAAACTACTAAAATTTCTAATACAGATAGATTCACAAGATGAAAAGGATGGCGAAAGCATTGGGGAAAAGGATTATCAGTTATATGAATTTGAATATGAATGAAAAAAAAGATGTATGCAGTGTTTGAAAGTAAAGAAGTAAAAGTAACGCGTTAGTGACTACATCTTATGGATATTTCAGTGTTAACAAGTCACTTTGCAGGGACTTGTAACGGAAGCAGTAACTTGTATTTCCTTTTTCAAGGAAAATGTCAGTGGCATTCATTACTGTAACGTATTACTTTGACAGACACAATATTAAAGTGACGAGCGCTGTATTATTATAACATGCATCTTTGCCATCACTGAAATCACTTGAAAAGCTGAAAAACCAGTTCAAATTCGTTACACCCCGACCAGCCAGCGACCCGACCATAGACCATAGTGCCGCCATTTACGGTCAGCGGGAACACTTTCAATGTCATACGCTAGCTTTAAAAGTACTCCTTCCGAGCGGACTGAACACAGCTCCATTTCTTGGGAGTACTCTCACGGACACGAGTCGTCTATTTAAAGGGTTTCTCACGCTGAGCATCGACTACGCTAGCTTGCTGAAATCCTCCATGAGATGCAATACGAAGTTAGGATCGAAAATTTCCGTACCATTCGCCGGAATACAGCTAGAATGACCAGTTCAAAGTCGACAGAGCATGGAAAAATTGACTTGAAAAGGGAAGTTCTAGTTGTAACTAGTTACTACTGGGGAGAAGGAATTATATTTGTGACTAGTTACTTCTAGGATGGAATACTTGCCATTATAACTAGCAACACGCCCAACATTGGTTGCATGAAACTTTGTCTTCATTTTACTTTTTTGGTATTTTGTATGAAGATAGAACATGGGACATGCAAATAAGAGGTTTCTATATTCTCAATTATCATCCAAGTCCCAGATACACATGAACCATAGAGTTCATGAGAAGTTAGAACCTCCGGGTAATGTGAGAACTATGAGGAGGAAAAAAATTTTCAAGTATACATACATGGGACATAGAAGCAAACTCTGTAATAAGTGGGATTTTGCAAACATGAATCCATGACAGGGGGAGCTGAACCTTTTAATTTTATCGACCATATACACTGTCACAGAAATCCCTCAAAACTTGGTAGTGATTCAGTGAAGTACCATAAATGGAACACCACGATGTCCTGCATGAAGGGCTTTATTCACGAGGAGCTCTCTGCAGAATGCAAGGAATAGCGACCATTACTGACCACCCGAGGAAAATAGACCTTTACATAAGTTCCGATGTTTAACTCCAATTCTTATTGCTCCTAGAAAAATACAATATACAAAATCCATTGCTGCATCAAGACATATTTCATCACCACAAGTAATTGAAGCAAAACAGGGGGCAAAAACGGCAAAAGATGAAAACAAGATCTGGACCATTCTATGATAACTGAATGGGCCATAACCATTATCATATCATTAAAAACCAAGTTGTGAAGGACGGAGATGAGGAAAGAATGCCTTCACTCAGTGCTTTGTGGGATACCGTCACTTCCTCTGCAGGTCAGCAATATCGACTATGTACCTTCAAAAGAAAACAAGCACATTCAATATATTTGATGAAATCTGAGTGTCTCCATGTGCACATCTGAGAGTGCTCTTTCACTATAGAATTATCAAATCATGCAGTAAAATTATTGATCTACAATTGAAAACTTTCTATTAAAAAAATGGAATCTTGGAGATTAAAGAACTTCTGAGTTCATTCTGATGATGATCACCCCAGAGATGTGCAATAGAGTTTGAAGATAAAAGCTTACATCATGACATCAGATGTGAACCCAAGAACCAAAGGCCTTTCAACATGGAGGAGTGCCATGGCAGAAAGCTGAACTTTCATATGCTTGAACATGCTTTAAAATGTCAAATTTTCAGTACAACTAAACTTGTAGGCACACTCAAGATAAGGGTAATGGTACCTTTTCTAAAAATCATGATGTTAACCCTATACTGCAAGGTGTGCCAGATATGGCATGCACTGCTTTGCATTTAAATGTATTATAGTACAATGGAAAAATATGATCATCTAAAATGTTTTGGTACATTTAAAGAAATCATGCATTGTAGGGTAGATATTATTTACTGTGCATACAATACCAGTTTGAGTGACCACAAAATATTAAAATGATAAGTTCAAAATATTCAAACCTCACTTATCCACATAGTATGGTAAAATTGGCCTCATTTTGATGCATGCTGCTCAGGCTACTACAAAGTCAGACAGCTGGTACTCCTTTAATTTTTCTAATTTTGTAGAGTATACAAAAGAAGGAAGGAAGAAGATCAAGCTGGAAATTCAAGTAATTGAATGCTTCATTACCAAGACAAATAGAAAACTTACCAAATCAATGTACATCGAGACCCTGAGAATTCAACAAGCAGGGATTCAATCCTCCTCGGAATCAGTCTCTGAAAGAGAGAAAACATCAATCCTTTTTGAGACTCAACTCTTTCAAAGGTGAAGCAAAAATGAAACAATTTATTATCATTGAATTGGTATTGGGCTTGGATCTTCAGGGGTCTAGCATTCTTCATAAAATCTCTAAAATGGAAAAGCATGTTTAACATAATGAAGTATTTCAAGCAGAAGTATCAGCAATGTGTTGGCTTAGCTCTAGTTGAGCTAGATGAATTTTTTTCTTTCAGGCTTTTTCAACCATGTATTTTTCTGTTTCTAGATTGCAGCAGTTTCAGTTCTGGCAGCTGGATAGGTAGTTTCATGCTAATGTTATGAATTGGATCAAAAACTTCAGAGGCAGGTTCCATGCTAGTGGAAGAAGTTGAATGGAGTCCACTTAAGCTTAGCAAGTATGGACCATATTTCTAGCCCTCTCTCTCTTCTTTGGGCTTTGCTTAGAGATTTAACTAGACTACACAGGCATTTAGCCTCTGGCAAAAGAAAAATCTACAGTCTGAGTTAATAATCAAGCACCCAATAGTACTTTTTTCAGTTTATGTCCCAGATGAAAAAAGTGATAATTGCTGAAAAGTTATAATTGAAACTGTGGATCGAGTTCATGTTACTGAATGTTAAAAATTGTAATAGCAACTTTAATTCCTGGGAAACTCCATGCCCAGGACACCATGTTTCAATATCCAGGTATCTACACTCAGAAAATTCTACACCCTCACATGGGAAGAGTAACAGGTCACATAACAAATAAAAAGACAAACAACAGCAACTCTCCAAATGCTGTGCGGGTCTGATTTTCATTGACATTAATATGAACCTAACATGTTCCTTGTGATGCAGCAGCATGATTCATGTAATTTCCTGGATTTGGTCATTTGAATTTTGGTACCTGGATTCCTGAATTACCACACCATTGGTGTGGTATTAGTCCCTGATCCAAAAGTAGTTATTTGATGCACTGATTCTGAGACAATTCCTTGTCATTTTGTTCTCTTTCTTCACTTGGGATGGGATAAAATACCCATTTCCATTTGGAATGGAACATCGGACTTGCTCTTTATACTCACCTTCCTCAGCATTCTGTAGCCACTCCACAAACTTCTTCATCTGCTCCAAGAATATGGACTTCCCTTTCGTAGAGTGTGTTTCCTTGTACCATTTCATGATGGCATCCTCTGACAGGACATCAGCTGAAAGAGCATAGTAAGGATAGTACAACATACAACTTGGCTATTAAACTTTTCACCCAACTCACTTCTAATCTTCTCCAAAAAAATCATAACTATTATGCAATGTTTTATTAGACCCAATTGAGCAATACTCATAGCATTTGGAGTTTCTTGTATCTACTGGTAAGTTTCAGTTACAGGCTTCTAAAGTTGACCATATACAATCAATTCAATAATCTATGACCTCCTGACCTTATTGTCAACAGTGCACCCAAGTGAATCATGCATGAGAACTGAAATGAAAAGTTGGGAATTGTTTTACAAACTTGAAAAGTGGTACATGCTCTGAGGATAAAAAAAATTACGATTTGACAGGTTCACAGGCAACTCAGACAACCAGAATTTTTCACATTCCACCTGTTCAAGTTAAAATAAACATTTAGATAATGTTTCATCAACTTCCCAAAAACTTCCTGGAAACCTTTGGAGAACAAGCAATTTGTAGATTTTGATGTTGATGAGCTCAGGAAAACAAGATCTATGATTCTCTTACAAACTTGCAGGATAGGAACACAATTGGGAATATTGTATTATATTCATCCATTGATCAATGTTCCTTTATTATCTTTGCATACTTCCCCTTTCCAGCTTTTTCAAACTTCAATTCAAATTTTAAACTCAGAGCCATGGTTGTCTGTTCTTTTTTGAAAGATGCTGACTGAAGTTCATGCCATCACAAGTGGGTGGGAGAGTTGGAATGTCTCCATCCACTTATAGAGCAGATATGATTTTGCTGCCTGAATTGCTCTTCAAGGCAACAGAAAGGTCTTGCTTAAGAATGACAACATCCATAATAATGACCTAAGAATGCCTGATATTCCTAGTTTTCCTTTTCCAGCCATTATTTTATGAGCCAGGAGTGTTATGTCTGCAGGGTCAAGAAAAGCAGTTATTTTTATACATACCTCTAGAGCAGGGGTTATTAACCTGGAGTAATACTTGAGGTCTGGGGAGTCTGTAGGTGCAAAAAGGTTAAGAATCCCTGCTCAAGAGCAATGTTGATAATTCCCCTCCCATCACATCCAAAACACTTCCAAACACATCCAGGGTGTTCAGCTAATGGATAATTAATAAATGGAGAAACTACAACAAAAAAGACTTTCCACTCACTCTTGTAGAAGAGGAGAACGATCTTTTGGAAAACCTTCATGAAGCTCATGTTATCATAGCAATACTCTTGCATTTTCACAAGCAGGGCTGATTCAGCTTTGGCTGATGATGTGAAAGCTGAGAAGAGGGGTGCATATGTCTTGAGATGTTTCATGGCCTGCTCAGCAACCAGCTCCTCTTTCTTATTCCATTCCACTGCCCCCATCACACCGAGCCACAACTATGCAGAGAAATGGACATTAAGTAACTTATAAATCCTATATCAATTGGGGAATCAACTAGATTAAAATGTTTTTTCTGATTCAGAATTTACAAGGATGTCATTAATATGGAACTGGCATACTTCCACTTCAGAGACTCCTCCCTAAGTGACTTTAGGATGCAATACCTGTCCAAGATAGTAATGGCCATAAATCAATGAGTGAAATCATGCCTACAGTACCACTCATCCAAAAATGGGGTTCAGAAGTGACTCACTGTCACTTCATGGCAGTGAGTCACCTAGGAAGTACCATATTAGAAAAGAATTTCAACCTTCTCCAAATAAAGTATTTTCAAACCTAGACAAAACTCACTATGACAATGATTTCCTTTTCATCCATGTCTTGTTTGAGCTTCATTTCCTTGACCAAAGCTAGTATTTCCTTAGGAGGCTCTTCTTCCTTCACCATCCGATCTATTTCCTTTTGCATCTCTCTTTTGATTTCAGCATTTGCTTGAGATCGTTGAAACTCCACTATTTCTAAAAGCCCTTTCTCCTTGAAGAGAGCATGGAAATTCTCCTGGGACCTCTTATTCACTGGGAAGAACTCCAGTAACCTGTAATGGAAAACACATGTTCTACAGCAAGTCTGTGAATGGAATCCTCATGAATTCAATTCAAAAATCCACTGAGCACATCAACAACTAGTTTTATATGCCCACAATCTTCACAACTGAAAGTGAGGACACTGTTGGCAGGACAGAAGTTAATCATGTACAGAATATTGAAGGTGACATATTGGCAAACCTAGTGAAAAGCCCTACTTTGAGTTGTTCCAAAAATAAATAATCGAAATAAAAATAAATAATAATAAAATAAATAATCTGAAACGTCAAACTAACAAAAATAAAATTAAAATAATTTTTAAAAATTGAGAAACCTGTCCCAATATTGGTTTCATGGAAAATGCCTGAATCTGTTGATATCTGATCTCCAATCTAAGGATTGATACAACCCTCATTGTAAGGATACAAAATAGCCCTGATTTCATATGTAAATAAACTTGGGGGATAAATTTAAGGCTGGATGAAGCCCCATGGATTTGCGAGGAGAATGTGAACTTGTGACCTCTTTGGAGTGCTTCAGACAAGTTTTAAATTTTTCTAATTAATGCAATCTAAATTCTATTTTTGCCTCAAACATAATTAACTCCCATGATTTTTGCAACTATGTACCAAGCTCCCACACAAGATTTTTTGTTATAATGCAATCTTTTTATATGCACTATGATAAGCAATCTAATATGTATTGAGTGTTTTCTTCCTAAATCATTAGTATTCCACAAAAAAGTATTGGATAGGACTCAGAAATTAACTACTGCAGTTGACAAAGAAAACTGAAAAATGGAGAGTTAAAGGGTAAGCACATGATTCAACCACAGATTGAACATTTAATATTAAATGGAAATCACAACAAGATGAAGATCACTACCCCAGGCAGATATTATCCTGTCATAATGGGCATAGACTAAGGATGGGATAATTAGTTCACAGACTTTACTTTTACCACTAATGACCACTCCTTTTTTCAGTTCACATTTACTTATCATGTTAAATTTAAAAACCATTTTAAATTCCATTTTTAGCCAATATATATGTGCCAGGAAGCCTTTGTCCTGAGAACTAAAGTACTTTTCACAATGTAAATGTGACTGCAAAAGTCTTCCCCTTCATAATACTCTAAAAACAAAACTGTGCTAAATACAGGACAGAAAAAGCACGAGAATGAAGCCTTCTAAGATTTGAATGTCTTACACAATTTGCCCATGAAATGAACACTAGTACCAACAAACCTGTTGTCTAAGCCAGCACGCTTGAGGTTGGCCTTTATAGCTCCAACATCTTTCTCATCCTTCCACATGACAAGGACTTCAAGCAGGTAATCCAAAGCAATCCCATCTTTCACCAAGTGTTCCTAAGATATGGCACCAGATACATAATCATACTCATTAGACACTAAAAACAGCAGAAACCCAAACTAAATCAGTTACAACAGGCAGCACAAATGGGAGTATGCATAATACTATAATTTTCATGAAAACAATCCTTTTAGGCTATGTCCATCACTAGGCACAGCATCCACCTGACCTGAATGCACATGTCTGGAAAACAAGTGTTACTGTAATTTTTTCTACAATTTCCAGCAGTACACCTTAGACAAAATTAACCAGCAAATTTTAGCACCTAAAGAATTGACATAACTGTAGCTTTGTAGGGGATGACGAAAAGATAAACTTCAGGCAATAAATCTCAGTTCTTACTACAGCTATTTTCATGAAACCTGCACAGTGCATATGTCGACATGTTCCTATGAGACATGAATACTTTCATTTAAATGTGTCATGCTGAGATTAAGCAATTAGAACTGCAGCATACAGCACTGTATTTTTTTGGTCACATATCACTTTGATTGTCTGCATATTCAGCATTATACCTGCAAAATGTGCTGTCACAGAATGTGATAACATTTTATTTCTAATACTTCATGTACATGCATACACGTACAACTATGCACAAAGGGAAAGTACTCTGAATAAAAGTCACCTAACAGGGTTTAAAAAAATTTTCTGAGTTTCAGTTGATTCTTCCTGGCATATAGGACTGAACAGACCTCTGCACATCATTTTTATGAAATCATACATCAATGAATATCACTCAAGTAATATAAATACAACAAAGCCTAAATTTCACCAATACATTTTGATTCTTACTGGCAGATGAGCTTCTGTATAAACCTGAATTACTGTATCCTTTTCCACACAATGTAAATACTTATAATAATCTTGTGTGCCTCCAATTCTCAGTGCCAGATAATGCCCTATAATGGTTCTCATTTTTAGCAATTGATCTGAAGAAGAGGCATACCTGGAGGAGATGTGTAAGACAACTTGGGGGGAGTGTACCACAGGCAAGCCAGACTGCTGTGGCCTTGGCCAACTTGCTTCTGTCTTCTGGACCGAAGCCTTTCAGGAAGATCAATATCTTCTTCATCTCTTCTTCAAACATCTTCTCCAGATACTTGTATCTCCTCATGAGCTTGATGAAAACCTACAGGATTCACACAAATCAAGAATCATGAGACTCTACAGGTAAAAACCACATGGATAAGTTTTATTGCAAGGAAATGTAGTGCTTTACATTTTCCATGAAACATATATTTTCATAATGCCAAAACAGGGTTGGGACAAGGGATGCAATGACAGTTTTTTCAATATTCTCTGATCTTTGATAATTGACACTGATAACCAATATCGAGAAAGTACCTCTTTAACAAAGCTAGGAAAATGAAATTGAGGAAGGCTGATTTTTCATCCCTTTTTTCAAATTTTTTTCTCCTGCAGAAAAATACAATGCCATACCCATTTTCATTCACATGATTTGTTTGCTTAGACCTGATCATGTCCTGGGCATCCTTCCTTATCAATGAATCATTCTTTCAAGATTGGGTATGCACTAATATATGAGGCAGAAGTAACATCTATATAGCTTTGGCCTTGTACTGTCCTTGTCAATGCTAAGCAATTTTGTCACATACTTTCTCGCCTTGTAGGAGAATATGTAGGTTAAGTGTTTCAATGACATTCAATTCCCTCGCCTTTCTTTTCTTTTCAATTGGCACCACAGTACGATTGTACACTTCGTATGCTAACGTTGTGGCCAAGACCTAACGTAACACACTAAGGCTACCGATCACTCCTAACAATGCCATCAATTAAGCTTAGCAGGGTTCATTCGTTTGAATGACCTCACTCCAAGGGCGTTGTCAAGTCAGTTGCCTCATTTCCTACACTGCAAAAGAACGATTCTAATTGGGGCCTGGTGCAATACATGGTCGGTGGCCTCATTTTTGGCTTCGTGAAAAGACAGATAGCGACACAAAAAATTTGTGGGTGCACATTTGCGATATAATTCCACTGAGTTGGGGAAACGACCGCAAAAAAGGACAGAACAAAACACAGAGATGATGCAAGTTTCTTTAGCACGGGGGCAAAATGGAGTAGGAATGAGGTTTTATTTCTCATATTCTTTTTTACTCTTCTATCCATCTGTTACAGAAGAAACTATGGAGAAAACTTCAGATTGTGCAAGATTCACCTCAAGGCCTGATATTTTCATCTGAGGAAGTTTCTGCTCTTCTTCCTCCACTTTACTCACATCTATGAATGCAGATGTTTGCCATTGTATCCATGTTTTAAAAACGATTGTCTGTTCCTCCCCCCCCTTCTATAACGGAAACGGGCATTGTGTAATACCCACTGCAATCAATGACATTGCCAGGAACAGTTTCTTTTGAGACTGCAGATGTGGCTCAGTTGGATTACAAATGACACCAGTCAGAAAAGGGTAAGGGGGGTACAATCAATCGAAAATCACTAGACCAGCATAACGGCCCAGTTTCACAGTCATCAACGTGATGGCTGAAGGTTCAAAGGATAGACCAGCGCATGACTGGTGTCAGTAGAAATACCATATTGACATCAAGGGAGCTCATCAAACTCATAAAAATCGGGTGTAAGAAGAGCAAAATATAAGATAACAGATATTTGTCAAAACCTCTGTCAGTCCAGTCTCAGTACTAAATCGTTGCATCCCTAGTTGGGATTTGAAGCAATTTAGGCTCCATTATTCCTCTATGTTTCAGTCCTGACTGGCACTATTTTACTTCTCCTGAAATGGGACACAATCAAATCCTAAAAGATCTTTTATACATAAAGGGAACATGAGCACAATACATTTTGAATGCAGGACTGAAGTTCCTCACAATACTTCAGTCCCTTACAGATGGCCACTTTGTAAGAAATATCTAGTCTCTGAGTACATTATACAGTGGCTGTCATTGAATGTATCTGATTTGTGCCATACAGAACTTCGTAACTCTTGAAACTCATGACCTTCATCCACATGGTCCTCCAACATTTATGCATATTATTGGCGCATTTGCTTTATTTGCCCAAATCAAAATAATTAAAACTTAAAGTGGCTTAATTGAATGTTTTTCTGAAAATCCATGGGCACTGGATGATTGTTTACTTGGTATTCCAAAGCATGAGCATTGATTCTCTTCTAAAATGAAAAAAAATCACAGTAGGTCTTGAAAGCCTAAATTACTGATTTATTCCACTCCGCCGCTTTTTGCATGAGACCTCATGTAAAATTATTTTTATAGCCTATACATGCACAAGTAAATCATCAATGTATCTGACCACTTCCAACCCTTTTAAATGAATCCTTGTAACTTTGTGCTGAATGCATGGTTGTGAGATCCTCAATGCTAGGGGCAGATTCTAATTCCTTGCAATTCATTTCTACATTTGCACAAAAATTACACACAATTTTGAAACTTGCATGAAAGCAGAGGAAACCCACTGGGGGAAATGGTCCCACTCTAACTGATGCCATGAGCAAGAAATCCTCTACTTTCACAGAATAGATTTGCACTATGACAAAACTTCTGATTTCAGTTTCAGGAACATCTAGGTTCTCTCTTTATCTGTTAAAAATGCATAAAGGAGAGCAACCTTGTTGCTTTTACATTATCTTATATTTTTACTTTATCTTGTAAGTATGAGTAGTTTTCTTCACTACTCCCAAAATAGGAATATGGGATAGATATACCCCTGGAGGCATTTCCCTATTGTCCCTTTGATCATCAGGAGTTTGCATTGCTCCACTCCAGCAATGAGCAAAGTCATATCAAAACATAGATGACTTCCAAAAAAATTCTCATTTTGTCTCAAATCAGTGCCTGAAAACCTGCCAACTACTTCCCCTTGAAGCTGTCTTGATGGAAGTGAAATAAGAAGAGCGCAAAGGATAAATAGGGAGTATGAGAATAAAGTTGTCAAGTAGTTATGGTTGCAATAAAAATGTCTGAAAGGAGCACTAAAAAAGTTATTGCACTTTGTTAACCTTTCAAGCAGTTGTCATGTACATCGTATGTTCATCACTTATGTGGTCAGGTCAAAACTTAGCATTTGAAGGGTTAAGTTTGCTCTGAGGCAAATCTGTTATATGCAGGTGTCTATTGAAGTAGTCTCCAGAGTTTTAATGGCACTTCATCCATAAGTTTTCCAATAACTTTGAGTCCCCAATTTGAGGCCTCATTTTTAAAGATCCTGCAATGCATTGGATGTTGCTGAGTTGACCTCATCAGCATCATCACATCTCTCTCTCCAAATAACTTACTTTTCATGGGTGAACTCAGTGTTGGGTGGGTCAATATTTCCCAATCCCAGAAATCAAGAAGCCAGACAATGTCCCTCATGACACGAGGCCCAGCATTATAATGCAGCAGCCAAAATGTCTAATGCTGTAAAAGTGAGTTGGGCAGGTGCATAGTTTCCAAGGACTTGACTCAATATTTGCTGGATATTTCAAGAAAGTCTTCCCTTTATACAAAGCTAACTTGGAAAATCTCACAATTATGGCCATCCATTCTGGTTTTATATTCATTCCAGATAGTGGAAGAAATGAAAGATGTGCCACTCAACTTAGCTATAAGCTTCCATACACATAATTTTATTAGTAGTTACAAACATATTCACTTAGGACCAAAGTTATGGGAAAGAGTGAGAAAGTGCAAGAACTTTTTAAACACCTTTCAAAGGGACATAGGATGAAAACTCACTTGGGCAAAGGACCTAATCGTGTCTCTGTCATTGGAGAGCCCAAAGATGCATGACTCTGTACGGTATGGTCGATTCTCTGCTTCCTGCACCAAGCTGCCTCCAGGTGCTACAAGAAAAGAAAAACATATGAAATTAGATTTCCATTTCTTACACACAGACTAAAGAGAAGGAAAATGACTAAATCCAAATCAAAGGTGCATGCTAATATCCACTGATGTCACCTGTATAACCTTTTTCATGCAACTCAACCTTCTTTCAATTCACCAGAGTTTGAATTTCTGCACATTCATTGTTGGCACAGCTGTGTGCCAAGAATGACCAAGGCATAGCATTTCACTTCCCCCATTTGACTCTGCAGTCATTCATTGCAGCATTTGCCATGTAAAGTGTCCTTGCTGTTGGGTACCCTAATGCTGACATGTCATTGGAATTCATTCATAACTATTTGTCAGTAACAGCTCAAACACATTGGGGATGACAAGAAGTGTGTCTACTAGAGTACTACCTGTATGCACCTGGAATCTACCAATGGCACTTGATGCAAACTGGATTTACATACTTTCATAGAGGGGCAGATGAACACAGAATTAATGCTAGGCTACTTTCCTCTGGGTTATCCCTAAGTACCTTCTATGATCTTAACCTCTAATTAAAGTAGCCTTAGTGTCACCCTGTATTTAACAACTAATTCAGATAGTGATGTTATCTTCTCAAAGTCAAATAAATTCATGGGTCACATATTTCAACACTGACATTTCTGCCTCCATAAAACTGAATATGGATTGAATAAATACTTAAATTTTGTTTCCAGTCCTTCAAAAATCAAATACAGCAAACCGTTAAACACAGGCACACTATAAATTTGAGATATTATACCAGATCTAGAGGCTAAAAAATTTTTATTTCCTCTGTGCCACTCTTGTGCACTACTACTGATCATATAAGAAATGCAACAACCAGTGAATGTACTGAAAGTTGAAGGAACTTTCAATTTAAACTTTCTTTGAAGAATTAAAAAAGTTTTGGCAAAATTTAAATTCTTGAGCAATCTGCATATACTTAAACACCAAGTGAAAACATTCTTTGACCACAAGATCCTGGAATAATATTCTTTGCAAGTTTCACTTTTAGTTTAATCTGCAAAAGGGGAGAGACAAGAAAAGAGACACCCTTGGTCTAGTACCATCCTGTAGGAAACTCAGTATTATTCACCTGGTGCATACCTCAATGTACACTTGTCATGCTGGCCAAGGCAACAAGGGAATGAGGGACATCAGTCACCTACTAACTTTAATCCATTTTTTGTCCTTTCAACCCCTGGCCTCATCCTCCAACACCTCTTGGCAAATGACACATAGATCATGATTTCAACTTCTAATGTGTGCAATACATATACTCAAATAAAAATTTCAGAAGTCTCCCAATTGCCAGGGATCCATTGTATGCTTCAACTTAGTCCAGCAACCAATTCACTCAATGCACAGTTAGATCATGTGTCATGGCCATGGGTGCATGAGAGAGGAATATAAGAATAGAGGATCCTGCCTTATACTAGGTCTTCATGAGTACCCAATTTCTTATTGTCCTGTGACTCCTGAGTCACTATGTATACAATGCAGCAGAGCAATGTTTTAGCTCTTTGAAACTGCGAGCAAGATTTAGCAAACCTACAGCAGACTAGTGAAAACAAAAGCATGTACTCACCAAGAATTCCACCAGCGATGAGGATATCAAACAAAGGTTCTCCATATCTTCGATAGTCAAGTTTTGAGCCAGCAACATCAAGGAACTTGTAAATTTGATCTACGTCAACTGGAGAATCCTGAAGACCCTGGAGGACTGCTTCTCGAAAGCCAGTTGGATCATACTTTTCCTTCTCATCCCTCTTTCGAGTTTTGATACGTTGGCCGGACAGCACAGGCTTTTCGGTTTTCTGACTCATACAACAGCTGGCTAGAATGGAAAATGTAACTTGTCAAATACAGCATAGGAGGCTTACTCCACAAGAAAATACACATTTTTTTATTATCAAAACCAATGAATTGTAATCTTTTTGTTAATCACTCTGACAGCAATTCCTAAACTTAAAAAAAAATGTAACCTGTATATTGAGCAGTCAAGACTTGGGAACCAATAAAGATAGCCAATACTTACAAAAAAAATGCAGACAGAAAACACTGGGCATCAAAATAAAGGAATTTTTTTTATCCTGGGACCTAAGCACTATATGACCTAAACCAGGGGCCATCAATCCTTGAGTAGCTCATGATAGGGTGGAAACCACTGTTCTATGCTGCCAGTGCATCTATAATCATGAACAAGATGTCACACTTACTTAAACAGTAAATAAATTTGCCTGAAACATTCAAAGGTTGGATGCACTATCCCTGAGAAGTGTATCTCTTATGATTTCTTCATCTTCCTAATGACAAATTCACACTGAATTGCACATACATTAACATCTTCACCACACAGAATTGTAATGCCCCTTGACCTAATAGCCCTTGTTTTCAAAATTTCCTCTTCTGCAATTGAACATAAACCATGCAGGTTTACATCAAGCCAATCATTTCTCTCCCAGAATTTTTTGTCATAGTAGGGTTATTCTTTTTACACGGATTGCTCCTTAATACTGCATTCTCCTTTATCCTAATACACAGCCTACAATACTGTTAGCATGACATACATTCAATATTTAAAAATTAAAAAATAGCCTCCACCAAACTCCATAACTACTTCTACCCAGTGTGACTTTTGAATCTGACTCTTAACATATCAATAGGAATGGACTGCACTTCCTTGTGAATGGCATCATTCAGTTTTGTAATGATGTTGGATTGTTGAGAGGCACTAGCTCATTTAGATACCCCCACAAACCAAAGTCTACTGCATTTGGATCTGATCTGACTGATAGCTACTGAATCAAAAATGGTGTTTATTGATGACCTATTCTATCATGAAAGGTGCCAGTGAACAATGTTATGCAGGAGTAACAGTGTGAGGTGGTACACCATCTATGATGAAGATGATCTCCATACCTGAACTGTAGCAACTGTGCTGTCAATCATCTTCATGGATGATGGCATACCACTGTATAACTGTTACATGTCAAGGCATGTTGTCCACTAGCTCCTGAGAGCATTCTAGTGAAATCCCTCAAATCTAGCATGTTCCAAGAGTTATGGTAGAATTTTTTGTCATCACAATGGTATTCATCTCCAGCAGGGCCATGCCCTCTGTTTGAAGCACCAGTACATGGTTTACACATCTTAATAGCAAAGTCATGCCAAGCCCTTCTGAGAGTTCCCACCTCAACCTTATCAAGCACTTGGCAACCTTGAACACCAAATCCCCATGCAAGTCATAAGTCCTTCTAATCTCCACCAGCTACAAGACCTTGTGACTGATAGTGAGATAGAGGATCCCACTATAACATCGTCAGAAACTAGTCAACAACATGCCGTGATGTAACTGACCATTCCTTGTCCTGCAGTTTCTTAAGCATCCAAATCCAGGGCATTAAGGCTCATTCAGCTGCAACTTGGGGCATGGTCTACTTTGGCATTTGATGCAAACCTCCCAAACTTAATGGGTAACTTTTTTCAACATTAAAGCACACAAGTTTTTAAGTGTAGTTTAAATGCTTTAATAAGTAGTACCACCAAGAGAAGTACTTAAAAATGGAAAATGACAAAATGGTAGAGTGTTCTTGAAGCTACAATTACCACTCTGGGCTATTCATGATGCAAGAGTTCAAAGATAGCCCAATTGGTAGTACCTTCACAAATGGAACACTGAAACTTCCTTCCTATCACCTTTTCAGTGATTTAACATACCCTCTAACTTTGTACATATCAATGCCATTCAAGGATAAGATTCACCCCAACTAACAGGAGCAGAAACTGCTTAATACCAAGCAATACCAATACTCAGGGCATAATTGGGAAGGCCTCCACACTTCTCAAAGGCAAATTCAGAAGACTGACATTCATTGATGCTAAGACAGAGAATGCAACAACCATTGTGACACTTCCTGTGCCATAGACAACTTCATTTGCATGTTTTCTAATCCTGGGTACATACATTTGCCACTGGATGCCTTTCATGCTAGATGCTATGTTTGCAGATAAGACACAATGAGACTTGATCTCTGAGATCAGATCAGGTTTCTGCAGCATCACCAAATGTATTCCATGCTTCATGTCATGACTTAAGTCAGCCTGGGCCATAACTGAATCCACCCACTATGACCAGCCTAGGATTACAATGTGTCTGGGTGCTTTTGGATGGGCAGAGTAGATAGTGCCTAGGCAACACATAAGCTCATGAAAGCATTCATTACAGACATGGCACAAGTGAATTTGGGCACAAGTGAAAGGAAGGAAAATGTCAACTAATAATGAGATAGTTAAGTGTTTTCTGACTTTCCCAATGGCAAGGACATAAGTGTTTTCACTTCAGTCATTCTCCCATTGACTCAGACAATCTTCCATGAAGAACATCACACATGCGAGTTTGAGTTTTGTGGAAAATTGCCTGACAAGTGAAAAACATTATATTATATAATCATTGATTGCCATCAAGAATAAAACATCAGAAAATCTCTACATGATTTAGGAATCAATTATTATACTTCAAAGTCATGTTTCCATGATTTAGAAAGCAAGATTGCAGAAATTCTATCTGCTTTCTCCTGATTTTGGTTGTCTTAATTGAAGAATTCTCTGAAAAGGGGACTTTTCTGAAAAAGATACAATTTAAAATAAAGAGCAAAAAACTTCTTAGAGCTAATCTGCAGCTGGTCAAAACTCAATTTTCTTTCTTTTTTCTGGTTAAAAATAATTGTTTACAATAAATACATCTAAAGATTTCAAATAAACTCTTCCTCAAAGAATGGTTTTAAAAAGGGAAATATTCAGGACAAGTTTCATTCACCAATTACTCATCCATGATCCATTATCATCATTTAGATCTACAACTGTCTCATGGTAATTGCTAACTTCTTGTATCCTTTTGAAGACTTGGATGACTCTGTGTCTAACTACCCCTTTTTTCCTGTCTGGTTTCTCTCTCATTATCACTACCAGTTAAAAATGATGGAATTACTTCACCAAAATCATTTAGCAATGCATGTACTAAAGGGAAATTCATGGAGACAGCCATGTTGAACTTGTCAGGCATAGGCCTACCATCTAGTGAAAGCAAAGGAAAATCTGCTTCTCCTTTGCTGAAAGTACATCTTAACCACTTAGTAACCACCCCATCCCATGACGTGTCACCTAAAGCAGCACATGGGCACAAATATGGAAAAAAAAAAAACATGGGCACTTTTGCCCCTTTTCCAGAGAACTCCTCAATAATGACTGGATCCTAAGGGTGACCACCTATTATCATTCCTCCAATATCCTACAATTTTGGCTCTATTTTCTATTATAAACATTTTGTGTTGAAACTGTCAAAAGTCCAAAATCAGCACAACCCAAAGTACAACTGATTATTGTGACAGCTTCACGCAAGCCAGCCTACCCTCATCTTGAAACTGAGCAATCTTGCATTCCAATGGAGTACAAGATATCCACCTCCAGGAGGAAAAGAGAAATGGAGGCTTATATAAGAGGTACCTAAGAGTTGGAATCTCTATTACAAATGTCATGCTAACATTTTCATTTGAGCAAGACACTTTGGATATGTCAATGCCTACCTATGACACTTACCATACATGGAAGTCAAAGCCATGTAATAAGCATTGCAAGTGCATTTGTAATGTCTTACATACCTAAGGTAGTGAAGTAATGTTTGTTAGGCTTGTTCTTATTCTCCTGCTTAACCTTCTGACTCCCAAGGATTTATATGCCCATACAACTCCTCCTTACTAAGCAAAGCATTGCAAGCTTGTGCCAAATATGCCATTTGGCATGAACTGCAGTGGGAGTGTTAACTGTGCCATTCACACTCAACACATATCCTCTTATTGTAAAAGGTGTGGTTATTACATATGAAGAGGGTAATTTCATGCCACACTCATTTCTTCCATCAGTGTGTTTTCAGGCAAACATAAACATCTGTCATTAGGCCCAGACATGCTGGAAGATTCACAAATGACTTGTGGAACACAGCCATCACGCTGCAAGTGCTCCTGTTTGGAGAAATGAGCATTTCACAAAATCTTGCATGTGATTCTTTATACTTTCTACCATGTGCTGAGACACCTACCTTTCACATCCCTTTCCTAATCTCACAGTCAGCTTGGCTTATACATCCATGCCTTCCTTTCTTTTGTGATATGCATCTTGGTCTAGTTATGACATGGGCAGTGTCTATTGGCCAAGCCACAAATTGTTAACTGAAGCATCACTCCTAACATCATAAAGCAACAAGCAGCCTACTGAATGCAGACATGTCTTTCAAGATAAAGGACAGCACTTTCTTTGCTTGTGGGGTGATACAGGAAATACAAGATGATGCTTAAAAAAAGACATGCACTTTGACTAATTTATGAATTTCACATTGGAAGTGAGGAAATTCTTTGTCGTCAGGGAGGCACCTGGTATGAAATCAAGTTGACAAATAGAACTAGGAAATGTCATCCATTATATGATCTACTAAAAAAGCAAAGCAATTACAGGCCTCAAATAGCCTCCCAAGTTCCTGTCACCCACGAATGACTCAATTCCATACACACTACTTAGGCTTTGAGTGAGCTCTCTCTCTCTGCCCTGACTATGACTTATATGAAATCCTGCATCTTGATCAGTTGGTAAAACTTGTTGGAAACAATACAGGGTGTTCGTAGTTAGACGCAAAATAGGGAATCCTTTGCCGCCTGTATGCGGAGTACCTTCGGCGCCTTAGAGCCCACCAGGTTGCATATCATGCATATTTATGGCGTTGTTGCAACGAGGTTCCTTCACGATATGCAACCCGGTGGGCTCTAAGGCGCCGAAGGTACTCCGCATACAGGCGGCAAAGGATTCCCTATTTTGCGTCTAACTACGAACACCCTGTATATATGGCAATAATAACATGATGTCAGTCATCACTCTGGAATATGTAACAAACTTTACAACTTTCAGGCCTGTTCCACTGAGAGCCACCAGGTGCAGTCAACCATCCTCAGTGCAGGGAGTCACTCAGCTGACTCTCAGCACTCTTGTCTGTACCCAGAGAATGAGAAGAGTTAACCAATACCATGATTGCTCCCTATATCTAGCTTAGAAGTTGATGGAGTTCTGTAGTGATTATTGATAGGTCTTATCTTATAGAATTTAATTTTATGCCCAAAACTGGATAAGTGCATTACACCTAAGCGTTAGTCTTTAGATTTTCACTTGGTCCAAGGTTGGGCTAAGACTTATGCTCAGGCCTAGGCCTACCAGGCTACTCTCTGTGGGTGAGCTTACTCTCTGTAGCAATGATATGCAGTCAATGGGGCAACCTTCCTTGAAGAAGGTTAACCAACTGCACCTGGTCAACTTCCAGCTTAACAGGCTTGACCTTAGAAGTCCTTTTTCACTTTAGAAAACCACCTCAGCCACAAGTTAGTGGCTAGGCTCTTGACTACAGAATGTAGGTGTCATCAGCTGCAGAGGAGTTAAGAGCCAGGTAACTTCCAGCTCGTCTCTTTCGTTAGATTCGAGTCAGCTTCGTCAATAGACACTGCCAATAAGGTATCACAGCTGGCATGTGAGGACTGCACACAATTTGTACAAAGAGTGCAAATAATATAGCAAAATAATATCCATTCATGGCATGGTGTTCTAGGAGTGCTTCATGTTGTTACAGGACACCCAAAGAATTTCGAAAGGCATTTATTCCACAATGAAGGAAAGGAGGCGGGTCTATTGCGTTCCCGATACACACTTCGAAAAGGTGGTCACCCTCTATATGCAAAATAGATCAGCGTCTTTATTCATTCAGGAAGGTCTAAAGTTGAGCTAAGTCTGGGTTAATGGTGTCTCAATAAGAAGGTGAATCATGGCGAACGGCGACTTGGACTTATGCCTTGTCTCTTTACTGAATATGGCTAAAGTTAAGACTAGCGGTATTCGCCCTCGGAGAAAGTTAAGCCTGGGAATAAAGCCCACTGGAGGAGAATCGGATAATGAGGAGTAAAATGGGGAAATGCAGAGAGACTCACTTGCAAAGTAAACCCGAAGAAGAAAGTGGTTGAGACGAACAAGGAATTTAGCGGAAGAGAGGAGCGTAGGCTCAACCTAGTGAACGGGCATGGGCATGGAGACTCGCTGGGACGAACTATAGCGACATCTTCCGTCTCGTCTCCACAACAAAGCTTCCTCCTCCTTCAGTAAATTACTGTTCAGTATTAATTCCTTATAATGACCCTGCAGCTGGAATGTCATTTCATAAAACTGGAAAGGAGGAGGGAGAGTCCGATATGTTTCAGGCATTTACCCTTCCATCCACTGTTTACGTGTATGTTAATGCTATACCGAGCGAATCATGGGGGAGAGGGGGGGGGGGGGTTACTGAACTGCCTCCTTGCATGGGTCAGCTCGCCCCTCTCCAGCACGCACTTCCCCCCCATTCATTCACGATTTATCTTGCAAAGAAACAAAAATTACTCCCCTGCCACGTTGGCATTTTATCTAATAAACAACCCGAGATCCTTAAAGAAGAAGCAGATGTGTCCTGCACGGGCCAACTCTGATCGTGCTAGGCAGAGTCCTCATTCATTTCCCTGAAAAGAAAACCATATTGCATCACAAAACAGTCGGGCCATAAACGGTTAGCTTTCTTAGAAAGGAATTCGTCCGGGATGGCGTCGCGAGTTTCAACTTTCTCCCTTCTGGCGACTTCCTGCTATCGTACTCAGTCACTGGGCCAGGACATTTTTCATTCAAATATGACTATGGACCCCCAACTGATCCTGAACTGGACAATTAGCTGGTCGATGATGAAGAAAGTGATGAACCATTGAATACAAGAGCGAGTCATGAGAGGTCCCCCTTCGATCGCTGCCTCGATGCTCTTTTCGCCAGCGCAACAGCATTTCTCTGACATTGAATGGAAAGCGGTACGGAAGGAAGGTAGGATCCCGCTCCTGTGTTGCCCCAGAGGGGAGTTCCCCAGCAGCGACATCTCACGAAAGGCGAACTAACGAATGACCGAGAAGTTTCCCCGCTATATGGCTCCACAGTTGCTAGCTGTCGCTTCCTTCCCGGGCTGACCCTTTTGCTTATTCTGATTGGAAGACTCTCTCAGACCTTCAATATGATGGTTCTTTTATAGTCCTTGAAGCCCAGTAAATTTAATAGCTGCCATTCCACGTTTCTTTCCCCCCCCCTTTCTTAACGGCTCATTGCCACGACATCGTGCGGCAATTCCTAGGCGGTGCTGACATCTTACGGTGAAAAATGAAACAACTCAACAAGCACAAAAAAAAACCATGCAGGTATTTCAGCGCTCGAGCTTTAGTTTCCAGGGTCAAGCCCTTAATTTCGTCGCGCAACATCGTAGAACTCTACAAAGCTAGACAATTTACGTCATTTATTTATTTATTTAGGAATACGTCAGAAGTGATAATTTTTCCTGAACTCCTCTTTTTCTTTTCTATTTTTTATTATTCAAATGTATTCTGCATGACATCTACAAACCGAAAGCAAAGATGCGACCTAAATTTCAAGTAACACTGGAAACTCTCCACATTCAAACTGCTCCCTTTAAATTTTTGACAATATATAAAATGTTTCGCATGCAACATGAAAGCATTCAACACAAAGTTTTGACTTCAAAAAACCAAATAACCCACAATATAAAGTGAATTTAATCTCAATTCCGGAGACGGCAGCAACTCTATTGCCTAATTGTTTCCAAAACCCCTGCACCACAGGACAAGCCCAAAAAAGCTGCACTACATCTTCGACATTTTCGCAACCAAAGCTGCAGGCATAGGTATGGTGGACGTCCATATCGAATAATGTTTCGTTTGTCGGTAAGACGCCTCTTAAGATACGAATTTGTAACCATTTAATTTTGTTGTCACTTGTAAAATAATTTGCTATAGAGAAGGCTGTTGATAGTTTCTGTTCCGTCATTCCCTGTGAGGGTAGTAAGGTCTCCTTTCTTTCGAAAGAGGTGGTAAAATCTAGAGCTCTCCTTCTCCTCTTTCAACAAGTATTCCACTGCTGTGGGTCTTGAAGGTGAAGTCTCTGGAGAACCCCCTAATGTAAGGTTTTTTTTTTTAAGACTCTCAAGAGGCCCTCATAATCAAGGAAGTTCACTGCTTGCAAGTTGAATTTACTTTGAAATTGAGAGAGTGACAATAAATCGCCGCTCTCTGACAACAGGTCGGAGGTAAAAAATACTCCCTTTTAGGCCCACTTTTTATAATTAAGAAATTTACCCGCTAACCTTACCTTATTATTATACCAGAGGGGGAAAACTCCTCCAGTGCGATCCATTAACGTTTCGTTAAAAAATTTCCAGGCATTTATCGCATCTTGCCAAAAGTCATTAAAGTGGCGAGGCAGAGAAAATGCGTTGCCAATTTGGAAGATATCCAAAGAAAGAGATCGCTGCCAATTATTATGAAATAGGTTCGTCCAGAAAGTCGATTTAATAAGTAACCTCCTCAACCAAGCCAGTTTTAGTGCTTTCATGAACGCCGTCAAATGCAACATATTGAGAGCTCCCATTTCTAATGGGCAATAGACTCCTCTTTTTCTCTTTTTCTTGCTGACTGCGTGAACTGGTCCCAACACCGTGAACCTTAGAATTCAGCATTTAGTTTTATGAGTAGTTAGGAAGGAAGTTGAAAGCATCCGGGGATTGACCTTGAATGGTTACAAAGCTGTTTTTGAAAGCGAAAGAGGAGCTTTTACGCTCTGATTCCCGATTTTCTAGGCCTCGTTCCGGTGAATGACTCGATTTATGTGCAACATACTCCCATCCCAAATGGTAAAAAAAATCTTGTTCTGAAGCAGCGATTCTCAACCTTTCATCATTAGCCTCGAAATTCATTCATTTAATTCATGAATAGGTTTACTTTGAACAGCAACGTTCGAGAACGATCTTCTCAGTAGTATTCATAAAATTTATTTTATTTTAAATACATATTTTAACGTCACGGCGATACCTGAGATGTGTCGTATTGCGACATGAAATATGAGAAAGAATTAAAAAAAAATGGTCTGCTTCTCGAATGACGGAAAACATACCAGAGAAACAACTTTAGGGAATTTCCATTTGAAGCAAACAACTTTTCAGGAATCCGAAAGGAGGATTCACGGCTGAGGGGAATCGTCGCCTCCTTCATTTTCCATCCTCTTCAGGAGACAGGGCAAAAATAAATAATAATAATAAGTGGGAGCTCGCGCAGCACACATTCGCCGCGTAGGTTGGGACGGACCTACTTTTGAAAGTAATTTATAACTACATGTACTGTACTTGAGTTTTTTCTCCCATTTTTGTAAATGTTACAGTGTATGCTCGCTTCAAAAGCCCAGGGAAAAAAGAAGAAGAAAGTAGTTCACAGTGGACATAAAATGTGTATTAGATTACTAGGACCTATCCCATCTGATATACAGGTATCACACAAATACAGGGTGGTTCAGAAGTCCCTGTACTCGCCTTAACGGTGAGGGACTTTTTGAATGAGTAATTCCCTGACGGGTGGATTGGCCGTGGATCTGTGACATGTACCGCACCACTGACATGGCCAGCCAGAAGTCCTGACATAAACACGTCTGATAATTCACCATGGGGGTACGTTGAGGGAATTTTAACCAAACAGCGCTACCAGACGACTGATGAAATTAAAGATGCCGTTCTTCCCTCAGTCACGACAAAAACGCCAGCAACGCTGCGAATGATGTTCAACAGAACGTGGCGACGCATTATCTTATGCCGAGACAACGATGGAGCTCACACAGATCCTTTGGATCATTAATAAAGAGACGCGAATAAGCTGAAATATTTAAATCCCAGGTGTATAGGGACTTCTGGACCACCCTGTATGATGAGATCGCTCCGCTCCTTGCATGCTAGGCTAGAACTATTTCATCTCCCCTCGTACATCAGCATTTGAGGCCGGGTCTATCTTTATCCGATTTTCCCACAATGACCGTCGCGGAAACGGCTATCACGTTAGGTCATCACCTTTTCCTATATTTCTATTCAGTCTATTTGCAGTTGCCATAACAACCTAAGCGCATGGATGAACTTTTCCGTACATTGGTCTAGGCCTTCTCCTATCGGTCGGTTTACATTAGTCCAAGCGATGAGTCGGCATTTAATATTCGGCTTTTCCGAAATCGATTGAACGCCTAGCATGATGACAGGCAGAAGACAACGAAGCAGGAGTAAAACTGTGACCAACCGTCCCGAGCCGATAAGCCAAGAGAGCGACGACTCCGTAAGAGAATCTGAGAAGCAGGTCCGTAACAATAGCAGCGATCGTTACAGAGGACCTGTGATCGTGATACCATAACGCGATGCAGAGGTTTAGCGGTAATCGTCAACTTTATTAATATTATTATAATAGGCAGTGGTGACTCTGGATGTGGCCGAAGTGGTCGAACGAAAAAGAGGCGGGAGAAGTTGAGGCAAGAAGACAATTTAGAATCAGGTCTCTTCTCATCAAATGTGCCTGACAGGTCTCGGGGGTGGTGAGAAAGGAGTATGATTGGTCGCTCTTTCTTGGATCATGTTCTATCATTTTCGCGACCAAATATATCAAAGCGGCCGACTGCTCGGAAACAATTTTACCCGATGATTTACTTTTCCATCTTACAGTGAAATTATGATGTTGTGAAAAGATCCTAAGATTTCATAATTCTCCGCGGTATTAATTTTCAGAACCAATTCCTCTGATCTTTCAACTAAAAATTCCCAAGGATCCTCAAAGGAGCAAGCTCTTAAAGCATCCTATTCCGAGACGAATTAGAAATCATTACCGAGTTTAGGGATTTCCAATCTCCATGTATGGGAGAAAACTTAAATAGCTGTAATGACTAAACCAGGGGATTGAAGCAACTTCTGATTTCGTATATTTTCACAGAAATTAAACACATGCACATGAAATTTCCCACATAAATCACCAGAACTTGAAATTTGTTGCAGTTATTACTGCATGCTGCCCAAATCATTCACCACCCAGTAGACATTGATTTTCACACCACCAACCACACTGACATCTTGAAAGCCACATTTCTGCACCAGACCAAACACCTCCCCAACCAGTGGGAAACCTTCAAAGAAAGCAGCAATCAGCAATATACAATGGATTTCTTAGACGAACAATATCATTTAGAATTAATAAGACTCCAATGGGGCTAAATATTTTCAAATATACATTGACTGTGACAGACTGATGAAATGCCTGGAGGCTGTAAAAAAAAAAGGAAATTACACGCCAAATAAAACTCAAGAATTGTCCTGAACTACACAATTGACGTCTGCGAAAGCAACTTTGAACACGAGATGATGGGTGTCAAGTGACCAATTCCATCACGATTGTCCCTGGAATACAATTTAAGTATAATATTTCAAGACTCTCTGAAGGAACTGTTTCCGTAATTTTCATGAAGAAAATCGCTTGATATACGCAGAATCTGAAATATGACTGAATCACAGGGCCACGCAATGTTCGGGCTTGATGGGGTTTGCCTCGAGTGGGCGAGATTTTTCTCACCTTCCGCGAAAGTGGATGCTCCCCTGGTAAGATCCAGCTCTCTTCGCAACTCGGAGAAGGGATTTCCGTTATGAGAGGACCGCTTGCTTCGCCTCGGCTTCGTTTGTAACCGTCGAATCCAAACCAATCCAACATATGCAGCCCAATACATCCAGTAAAGTTCGATGGTGTCGCTGGCCAGAAAAAAAAATTAATGAAACGCGTAGTATGAGGAGAGGAGATGGGAAAAGCTACATTTGCGCGATGAGTTTTCGTAAAACTTTCCCGACACCAGTAAACTACTGACACTCCGGTCAACGTGGACATTATTAACACTGAGCTACGGGAATTTGAATGCGCTATGGGCGTAGGATGTCAATGACGGCTGCAAGGCTCCAAGAGTCCAAAGACGACAAGATCACACTATTTCATGCCAAATCACAGAGTATATAAAATAAAACTAAATTTGCGTTTTCTGCTTGTAGGAAACAGCAATTTCCAAATTAATTTGAATCCTACAGGCTTGGGAACGTCAAGTATCCAAGCTGAGCCAATCCAATCAGGGGAAAGCTAATCTGTTGAGGTTATGAGCACATTGCTTGCGAAGAGTTGAACCTCAAGCCCGAGTAGGTGTGGTTACAGGGAGTTTCCCATTGGAATTCAACGAATTCGATTATCATCCCTTCGTGATGGAGTGAGCACGATGATTAGGTGTGGTATCATTGTCTCTTTAATGAGAGCAGTCAATTATTCGAGTAAAATAGAGCCGAAATTTGGAATTTAGAATGATGAAGAGCTTCCCATCTAAAGTTGAAGAAATGGCTTCCTTCAGTCGTTTTAAAACGGTAGGGTGCGCCACTCAAGGGGCACATGAGAGGCGTGCCCAGATGCCAATTGGTGGGGGGAGGGGGAGCTGGCTTAGGAGTAAAATTGTCATTCTACGCCTCAAGCAATGATGTGAAGCGAGGTACTGAAGGCAAACGGCAGGCAACTATTATTTTCAACTGCACCACAACTTTAAATTCACACCGGCTCCTGCTGGAAACATTAAAAACGAAGCCGCATCTGGGCATGAAATTCCAAATTGACCCGAGAATGATTTCATTAACTATTTTAATGCAGTTAAGCTAATGAGCTTGAATGCTGATACCTCATTGCTCTAAAATAAGCTGGATACAGCTGCTGCATAAGCACAATATTGAAACAGTTGGCATCCCTCAAGGATTGAGGTAAAAATGTCCCCAAGGCCGATCTAAACTGTAAGCATAGAAATGCTTTTTGAATGATTTTGAATGATTTTCGTAAATTTAAGTTTATAATACTGCCTCTACTCCAGGGCATTCCAAGCTTTTTCACGCGTGACCCCAAAAATTACTATCAGTCTATTTAGGACCCCAAGCACTGGCTGAAGTTCGACAGGCTCTCTATGCACTAAATTGCAAAGAAAAACATAACTTGGCATTTAGTTGCCGGTTCGCGACCCCAAATATGATCTTGGCGACCGTAAATGGGGACACGACCTTGGAAAGCCCTACTCTACTCTGCAAAGAAAAAAAATTTCAAGCAGAAGGTCACTTACGATTGAAATATTGTATTTGCAGGTCGTAGTACCCTGTAGCAGCAGACCATTGAACTATGAATGGTAGATGTGGTAGAATTTCCATCTCCTCAATCCTGAAAAAGAAAAACACGAGACGTTACTCCACTGTTGCGTTTTTTGCATAATCGAGAAAAGACCATGTGCAAGAAAGTTACTGAGTGTCTGAAAAATCGGGGTCGAGGAGGATCACACAGAATTTTTCTCCCTGTGAGACATTTTAGGTGCACCAAAACCGTTGGCCACCCAGCTTGGATTTAGCTTGGATTAGGGATCCTGAGGCCAGCGAGGGAACCATCCAGAGCAGATTCCAACTAAATCTGCTGGCAAGGGCATAGGAAACGGGGGGAAAGGGATGGGAAAACTCCTCTCCCCCGCTTTTAACCGTGTGGGTGCTTTTAACCAGTATGGATAAAAATGAACGTGAGGTCAGCTAAATTTGAGCCACAGCTCTTTGAGTGATGCATAAAAATGCAGGGAACCTGAGATTCAGGCTTGGAGAAGTAGCTCTCCCCTGAGCGAAACCTGACTTTTGTATAAATAGAAAGAAGCTTTGTCTTAATCCTTGAGTCAAAGTTCATCATCACCGTCTGGTGTGGGGCAGACTCAGCAATCGAAGTTCCTTAGGGAAGGAAAAAAATGTAAAGGGCTTTTTCCAATTCAACGTCGTAAAATTTTCAAGCGGAATTTGGTTCACCTTCCTTCTGGGATATTACGTCTTATATTCGAAATCCGACCTTTATGCGAATACATACTACAGGGTATTTCAGACAATTAATCACCATTTTAAAATATAAAACTTGAAGTATGGAAGCTCTCATGATCACTCTCCTACCATTAAATAGTGCAGACTTCTAAGTTTTTTTCTGTGCAGTTGGCAATCCTATCTTAATGTTATTAGCGTATCAACACATGCGAACAACCTGTTACATTTTGTGAGCGGGTCATTTCAAACCACGTTCATCAGAAGTTTGCTATGTCCCCAAACTAGCCCCAACATCAAACCATGTGACTTTTTCCATTGGGATTATCTAACGGAAGAAGTGTTCAAGAGAGCTACTTGGCCAGTTCCTGAACTGAAACAAGCAACAATGTAATGTGTCTTTGAAATTGACAATGATTTGCTGAATAGTTTGATAAATAACATGCTTGTACACCTCCGCGCTGTCAACAATGTACGTGGTGGTCACATTGAACTTACCTTGCGCTGAACAACACATTAAAAAAAAACTTTGAAGTTTGTTCTATTTAATGGCAAGGGAATCACTGCTGTAGGTTGCATGCATTAAAAATGATATTATTTTGAAATGGTGACTAATTGACTGAAACATCCTGTAGTATTTCGTTGTCCACTTGGCAGAAACCTGTTTCCATTAGAACCCAAAAGTTTTCCGAACGTACTACATTGGAACGAATACTTTACATGGAGCTTTACGAGGGTGAGTTTTAAATAGTATTTCCAAGAAGTTCATCATTATATCCCTCTGATAATATGGAACTTTCGGTATTGACGTGTGAAATTAATGTGAGACGTTAAATTCCCAACCCGACTCGTAGTGGGCTCTAACTCACCTGCGAAATTCCCATAAGTATAATTTCTTGGCATAATGGAAATCAGAGCTTTGACTGCCTGAGAGAACGTTTTTACATGTTGATTGCCCTGCAAGATAAGAACATGATAGCTTCTTCACTCTTTTGGAAAAATGTTACAATGAAACTACACGCCCTGCCTCACCCAGAGGATCCATATGTTCAGGGTTCTCGTGACCCACATCGTGAGCACTGTATAACAAGTCTTTCATCATGCAACCCCATTTGTTGTGGCCGGCGTCATAATGAATTATTCTTAATCCTGGAAGCCCGAGCGAAAGTCTATTCATGAGAAACTAAGGAAACGCTCAGAATCGACTTAAGCACAGACTCCTAGCTCTGAGCTAAGGCTTCATTCATTGGGCAGCTTTTGCCCCCTCCACCTTTATCCAATTAGAACATATATGAGTAGTGAGTCTGGTACTGTGGGACCTCTCTCTCCCAAACCTGAACTCTTCTGCAGTGTGTTCAGAGTTATTTGCCACTTTTTGTCACTCGAGAATTTTTTATACTGCTTAATTTTCTGCTTGGAGGAGAGCTTCTTGCCTTGAAAATTCCCTTCGTCGGAGGGAATGCGCAGGAAGGCAAATATCGCGTATATCGACTTATATGCGAGAAGAAAGCAAACAAGTTTTCCTATGTACTCACCTCTCAATGGGTATAGGTGAGGGAGACACCTGTTTCATTGAAAAGACTGCTCGGGAAAAAACGTCCACATGGGCTTCAGTCTCGAACGCCAAAGCTTTTTCTGGATCCACCATTAGCATCCTGGAAAAGGAGGGGACGGCAACATGTGTGGTGAATTCACTTATATAACGGCCACTAATAACTCCACATAGTGAAATGGTTACACCACTCATATAGTACAAGCTTTCATCTTTTTTACGTGCAGTCTCATAGAAGTCTATGCAGGTACCACCAATACAGAGTTATTGGGCTTTAAATAAAGGTTACTGTTGCAACTGTGGATAGTTTAAATAAAGGAAGTACGTGCCAAATGTCATGGACAGTCTGACCATTCACTGGCACGGAACGTCAATTATGGAATCTGATATAGTTGCACCAGATATTTGCAGATGAGAAACTAAAACGTGTTGGGTTGGCATATTCGACATCTGCATTTAACTTTCCTTCAAGCCCCTAACCGAAATCAAGCTTTGTCATTTTAGGATGGGACTCACGACTGTTTCAAGATGGGGGGTTGGAGGAACATTGAGAGGATGAATTCGCCGAGGCGCATGCTGATGATCTCAGACAGCTTCCAAATCAACAATTGTTCCTGACAGATTTTGGGGGGGAAGGAAATATTCTTGAATGTTAATTCTTCACTTGTATTTTCAATATCCCAATGAAGAATTTCAGTGAAACAATGAACTCGAATCAGTAGGGAAGAAACGAAATCAATACTGATTTCGTTTATTATAATTATAACAGCTGCTGACTATCACAAGCACCAGTTCATTTGGCTGAAATTATTCACTTAATGCAATATGAGGTTTCATCCAGAAACAATATAATTGTGGGAATCAAAAGCTAACCCAGAAAGTCAGTGTGAAAGAACCATGAGTGAAAACCTATCCATAGGTCACAATGATAGAATTTAAATTCTCTGTAGGATTTTCTATCCTTAAGCGAAAAGTCAATTCGTGTGAAATTCATCTACGAGGGTAGTGAATGCAATTTTGCACATGACTGTGGACAGCTAGGTGGCCATTTTTTTATTTTTGACCACAGATTTTGCTGATACGTGGGGGATGGATTCATGAGGCACTGTTCCTCTGAATTCAGGTGGAAGCACTTCCAAGTCAAATCATTTGAAAACTTCAGAGTAGACTGAAATTGGCGAGTTATCAAGTGAATCTTCAGATGGTCACAAAATAAATAGCTCCCAATATTTCGGGGGCTATCACTTTCCATTGCGCTCTAAATCAATCAACAACATCCACCATGCTCTTAAGTAGGTCTACTGGTAGCTCTGTATATGGTGGAATCTTAAAAGGGAAGGGCACTTACAGTGACAAAGCAGCTTTCGTGTAATACTCCGATGCAAACGCTGGAGCTGAAAATCTCCAACCCCAAATAATGAATGGGGACCTTCATCACCTCCATAAATAAAGCCCGAGTGATGTGGTACGCATGGTGCAGGATGGTGCTCTTTGAATTACCCTGGGAAGTGGGATTTACTGTCCGCGTTGTCCCGTCTTCCTCAGCTGGATCGGCGCCGGGTGATGCTGTCCAATGCGGTGCGTTCGAGATCCGTTGCAGACCTGGGAAATCATCGTAATTGATGTGGATAAGCTGTCGTAAATTGTCTTCTTTATGGTAGACGACCGATATTTTCAGCCTGACTTCTTGTTCTCAGGAACCAGGGTTAATAGGGGAATGAAAGCCATCGTCACTCATTGACTTCTCATGTACGCAAAGACCACGTGTGTACATGGATTAAAGTTCGGCACATCAGCCGAAACGTCTCCTTTCCTTTCCTTACCATTTAAAAGTCTTCTAGTCTTCATTCCTTCATGTATAACTCTCCAACTGGTCGTGGAGCCAAATGTGCACCGTGAGAAAATGTGTTAATCGGCACATCAGCCGAAACGTCTCCTTTCCTTTCCTTACCATTTAAAAGTCTTCTAGTCTTCATTCCTTCATGTATAACTCTCCAACTGGTCGTGGAGCCAAATGTGCACCGTGAGAAAATGTGTTACGTTACACCCATATTGAACAAGGGGTGAAAAGTTCAATCTGTGCAAACCCGATATTTACTGGATCTTGTCATGGCACACTCCCAACAATTCATGAAGAGATATTCTAACAAGCGGATGAAAGAATATGGAATAATTGCGAATAATGGATGGAGTAGAGGAAGATCTTTTGTAATTTCTTACTTGTTAAACCTGTCTTACCTCTGTGCTCTTGGGTTGGTGTACAAAGCAAAACTGCTTCTGTTCTCAGGAGGAATACATTTTTCTAAATAAGCACAAATAAACTGACTTACGTGTCTTGTCTAATTCCACTTGGATGGCAAAGACCCCAGAATCGAAAATCCACGAGATAATTAGAGGAATGTGAGACATCGATACCCTCCTGATCGTCCTGCAATAGAGAACACTCCCTAATATCACGCTACTGATGGCTTCTAGATCTGCAGCTACAAATTTCAAAAAGAGCTAAGGTAACATTCCCCGTAAGGGGAAAAGGGAACGATGGGAGCGAAAAAATAGACATCGCAATCCCGTTCTCATGTCCCAATCCCGTTTACCAATGGCGCTATTCCATTAAAAATATAACAAAACAACCTATGCTGCGAGGTTGACCCCTCACCCCTTAACAGAGTAATTTACGTAGCTGTAGGGGAGGAAAGAATCAGGATTAAATAAAGGACTGAAAGGAAACTTGGTATAAAAAAAAATTTCTGAGAAAAGTATAGTTGGTTTAGTGCACATAGATACTCTTCCCTTTCATTGTATGGTAGTTTTGGGGGTTTTACAAAAAAAATTGGTCTTCGATGCATGCTGACTTTCCTCACTTGCCTGAAAACAGTCACTAGAATATTAACTTTCTCTGGATTGCGCTCGAGAAAATAATTATTTGCCAAACACTTTTCCCTTAATTATTTCAAATAGGCTGCGAAGCGAAAACATTGTGGTCCCGTGTTGGAGCAGTGATGGACCCTGGAAGAAAGATTTCAGAAGGAAGACAGTTGCACATCTTTCCCTCACTTGTGATGGAACTCGGGATCAGGCGACAACTGCTCCAAGGAAAATATAAACGCCTTGGGACCCGTTTGTGCGGTGAACAGAAATTGGTCGACTTTGGTGGCCCAATGTCCCCTGAAACAGAGAAGGGTAGCATGAAGATTAAAGGTGACCAAAAGGGAAGGGGAGATTTAGGTTCGGTTGATCTGCTCAAGGAAAAGTCTCTAGAGTAAATAATACGTAATAATAAATAAAATAAATGTAAAACAGCAATTAAATTTTAAACGTAATCTCAACCTAAAATAAACATAATCTTAATATTTGAAATTCAGTAAGTTCTCTCTTAACACTACAGAACACTCGTTCCATACTGATAACGGTTTGAAAAGATCCAACTGAAACGGCCATACGAGGAACATATAAAGACAAAACAAGAAATTAGCTCCTCTATTAAAATTGAAGGGGTATACATTGAGGCTCACTTACTCAAAATTGAGTTGAATGACATTTGCCTGCGAAACACTTATATGGAGAACTGTATGTTTCCATTTGAGTTCCAGTTAATACATATTCCCAGTAGGATTTGAGAAACTTGGGCAACTGACGTCAAGAGCTGTAACGAAATAAGATGGATGCTTAATAATGCAAGAGAAGCAGGGGTGGTTCCTGCTATGGGGCTGGAGGGCTGCAGTCCCCCCCCCCTCCTTACCCTCGGAGGCACAGATTCACTTCCCAATGTAAAGAAAAAAGAATTGAGATATTTTAAATAAGGTTGGTTTAGATATGGTAATGGTAGCATATACGAAAATCAGTTGGCCATGTTCGTATACGTTCGAGGCAAGGCTGCACAGGCCGTACGTAGCTTAGGCTGCAGCTAAGCGCAGCTCCAAGTCGATCCGCTCGCCGGCGCGCTATAACTCACTGAAAAGTTGGTACTTCGTCTTCATATTCCGTTCTCTCGCTGCTGCTCTCGTTGCTGCTCTCTCTACTGCTCTCTCCTGTTCTTTCCCTTCTTACTAAATGCTTTCCTTCTCCACCGCTTCCTCTTACGCCTCTTCTTCCAGAATGAGGGAAGAATCCGAAAGGCCTAATCCGGTTTGCATGCCTCGAGTGCCCAGCCCCTAAAACGAAACTTTTTCGCATGATCAAAAAACCTTTAAAAATCCCTCTAACATCTCGTCGGGAGATGAGAATTTTCTGACATTGGGGTCGGACATTGAATGCTTGAGGCACCAGATCGATAGAGACTGACGGCTGCGAGACAGCAAGCAGACCCTTAGATTCGAAATGGAGGACTCCGCCAGTCCTCGTGGACCCATGCTCCTTCTGAGAGTGGATCTCCTCTTGCTTCTTCTGAGGATGGATCTCCTTTTGCTCCTTCTGAAAGTGGATCTCCTCTTGCTCCTTCTGAGAGTGGATCTCCTTTTTTTTCTTCTGAGGATGGATCTCCTTTTGCTCCTTCTGAAAGTGGATCTCCTCTTGCTCCTTCTGAGGATGGATCTCCTTTTGCTCCTTCTGAAAGTGGATCTCCTCTTGCTTCTCCTGAGGGTGGATCTCCTCGTCCCTCAGATCCTCTGGGATCCCCAGCCTCGAAAGGGCGACGCATCCCTGCACTGTATAAAAAAAAGGGGCATACAGATGGGAATAAAAAAATTTCATAAAAATGCATAACTAACTTTTGTGCAACACCGGTGACATTTTCTGACAAAAAATTCATAATTGCATCAATTTTTTTTAAATATCCCTTAAACGAGCAAATGGTTTTTGTCGCACCAAAGGGATGCATGTGTGTCATTATACTCAGCAAAATTCTTTTTTAACAGTTTAATTAAAGAAAGGTTGCAAATGATTTAAGAAAATACAATACATTTACATAATCGCTTACTTCTGGAATATTATGAAGGGGAAATCGGCTACATTTTCCGAAACAAAAGTAAGTCTTCTGTCATATTTCTCCCATCTGACTGCTTTAAGGGGTAAGGGTAAGAGCAAACTAGATAAGAAGTGACCACCACTTTTATGACATTAATCTTACGTCAACTGTGTGAGTGAGAGTCTATTTCATGAAAATTCAGGCCATTTTTTAAATCATAATTTCCATCATTGCGCATAAAGGAGATATCATTCCGGGAAAAATGGACTTGTATGCTAATACTTGATCAATTTCTCTGCAAGGTGTATTCAACTCTGTCATTTTTCTACTGTAAAATACTGTAAAACATACACAAGAAGAATGCATTGCATCTAATTGAAGTTTCACCATCATACATTCTCGATCATATGAGATTATTTCAATTGAACGATGCTGTATTGGGTTTGGCAATTTTGGGAACTAGAAGGCTGGAGTTACTGTCAGAAAAAATATGCGATAAATGCCCCATGTGGGACAGACTATTGATATAACCGTATAGAAGATGCAATGACTAAAAAAACACACACACACATTTCTATGTGGGCCATAATTTCCTCGGAAGATATGATTATTGGCACCAGAAATTGGTGAAGTTCTATGTACCATGAATTAACTTATGCAGGATGGGATTGGAATAAGAGAACGGATGCGAACCGCCGAGAAACGGCAGAGATATGGGGAAGAAAGGCCACTTGCTACGACGCAGATCCCCGATACGACAGGTCCCTGCCATTATACGTAAGCAAAACCAGGACAACCTCAGAGTCTCTCGAAATTGCTCGCAATCTTGAGAGTATGCGGTTGCTAGGAGACGTTACTGACGGGAGAGGCATTATTTGATCGTACGGAACACAGAACTCTAAATCCTTGTGAAGTCGGGGTTCGACTTTTGTAAACTTCGCCGGACAGCTGCCACCCTGGCTTATCAGTAACCAGACAGATAATTGAAAATTTTGAAGCTTTGGGCAGCGTCTTAGATATACCAGGGTCAGGGTGTCCAAAATCTGCTCGCAACGAAAAGTAACAGAAGAATTTGGTGATAGCACCTGGTCGTAAGGTGGTGTCGAAGGTGACGAGTGGGGTAATCACCAGCATCTTGTATTGAATTTTACTTGCGCAAAGGCTAGGTTGAGGTGCTATGAACACATGCCGTTGAATAAGGTACTGTGAAGCTGGAGCAAGTGGAAAAAGTGAAGATTTTCTTGAGATTTGCTTGAGTTTGACAAATTCAAAATTGATTTTGAGAGATTAAGTTGGTTCTTGGTAAGTTGGTTCTTGAGAGTTCGGGGAAATGCAAGGGAGAAATTGAGGACCATTCTTGTCATTTTTTGTCCTTGACTGGCATCCCCACCCAGCGAAAGGCTCGTGCACATCTCATCAAGTTCTCCAGTTGCCAAGCAATTGCGGGCGGACGGAATAAAAAAGGACTAGAGTACCAGCTCAGGTCACCTGTCATTCCACCTGCCACTATACCTATTCGAAATGTCATTTCCCTTTGCCGCATAATACCGAACCAACTTCACAAATAAAAGATGTAATATGTCCTTTAGATCCTAGACAGCACCACATTTTTCTGGGTGGTTTGCGCATCTGCGTTTCGTGAAGATGGTAGGGGAATATGACATTCAGGATGCTAGATGCGGCATTTCAGAAGCACACTTGGCAACCTTGTATACGCTGCCACATGCTGTCGCTCTCTCCCATTCTCTACTACTAGACTGGCACATGCGCGCATAGTCGACTTGTCCCGTTCCCGTGGAAACTGCGGACAGACGGAATGAGAAAAAGAAAAGGGTGACAAACTGAACGCAATATCTGCCATTTTCCCATAGTGCCTATGGGAATGGCAGATAACTCGAGTACCAGGCACAGATCTGCATTCCACTGGCTCCAACACCCCTGAATTTAGGTCCTTGGGAAAACAAAAAGGGTGTTGCAGTACGTCAATGCAATAAAATTGTAGCGACTACATCATCGTTTAAAATCCAGGATCACCAGGATTGATCCCCATGGTGTTGTGACGCCAGAGGCTATCGTGCACGTGAAGGACCTAGTCGGACAAAATCGGCGTCTAACATCGACGAGATCGGAACCCTGACGGACATCAGTCATGGTTCCGGCCACCACATAGTGGCGGAGTGCAAGGTTTAAAGAAAGTGTGTGCACGGTGGGTTCCACGAAATATGACTAAAGAAACGAAGAACCGACGAATGGCAAATGCAGTCATAGATTTCCCGCTTCGAGGCTTAAAGGGGAACTGAACTTCCTGAACTGAATCGCAACCGAAGACGAAACGAGAGTCCCACTGGGACATGAATGGCTTTCCTGTGACTCATTTATTGAGTCATAAGATCGACAAGAAAGAAAGAAGTGAGGCCTCGATTAACAAAGGCACTTACTCCAATGTGTTGCGCGATAAATTGAAACCATCCATTCGAAGCAGGCGTCCTGGATTGCTGACGATAGGAACGCTGCTTCAACATGACAATGCTCGCCCACACTCAGCTCAGAAGATCATTGAGACCATTGAAAACTTGGGTTTGAGATTATTCTGTATCCGCCTTATAGCCCTAACCTCGCATCAAGGGATCACCACCTGTTCGGACCTCATATGGAAGTCCTTGGAGGACGGCGATTCAGATCTCACGATGGGGTTGAAGAGGCTGTAGCAATCGCGGCTTCGGGGCCACCCGTAAACGTTCTTCTCTCCAGACATCGGGGATTTGGTGGGACGGAGGCAGAAATGCATCAGGAAGCAGGAGACTATGGGGGAAAACGATGCATTAGTTACGGCCGTCGGATTATTATTAAAGATAAATACCTGCGTATCTTCACTTCCTGGATAATCTTCAAAGCCTAAAAAGATTGTATTGGTGAGGCATGCACACTGAAGGGTAGCATGTTAGCGAAAGTTCGCAAAGTAAAACGTCTGAAAAGGCGGTGGGTCTGATTCCCCTGGTTTCATTTTCTCAAACATTCGGGGGAAAAAAATTCCAATTGGTCGTTCATCTAAAGTACATCAGACTCAACACGGTTCAGTGTATTTGTTCCAGCGAGAGGACTATTGTCTCGGATTCGAGAGCTGTTGCTCCTTATTTTCCATATTCTTGCGTCAGGAGCCTAAAAATCTCCCATTCCGTGAAACCATCCAAAATTCCTATGTCCGACCAAGCCCAGAAGTTTATCTTTGCCGCGGCGATCGGCGTTGCGGCCCTCATTCTGACTTTTTTTCTCGACTCTCATTTGATAAAAGCTTCCTATCTTTTCTCTTTTCGGAAGGATAGGATCAGGATCCATTCTTGTTTGCCCTTCAAAATAGACTTAAATCTATCTCTATAAGCAAGGATCTCTGTCTGTCTCTGTCCATCTGACGCTATGCATTCGGACACCGTTGGAGATATCGACCTGAAACCTTCGCAGGAAGGTGGGGTCTGTCCAGTAGCAGGTCAAAGGGGGGTTGGGGTCAGGGGGGGCGGCTCGGGGTCCCAAAAAGGGTGTTCCAGGCCAGCTAGATTTCTCAAGCATTGCAGTGAATGATTGAGACGCTTTAGAATTTAGATTTTAGATTTTTTTTCAGTGCAGTAAGAATACGAGGTGTGGCTATTAAATAACGAGAATGCCCTGTAGGCGGTATAATTCTAGGAGCGGGGAGCACATGTGCGGTGAGTGACTTTGAAGCTTCCGGAACCTGACGAGACGAGCCGGGTTTCGTTGGCGATAGTAGTCAGTCTGCTAGCAGCGTTTGACGGGAGAGGTGCACAATCGTCTTGCCGGAATCATGGCTAATGTAAAAATCGAGCAGCGCATCAATTTCAAATTCCTAGTGAAATTGAAGAAATCGCCGAGCGAGTGTTTGAAACGGTTGCAAGAGGTGTACAGTGATAATGTGATGTCACGTGCGTGAGTGTTTGAATGGCACAAACGATTTGCCGAGGGACGAGAGAACGTTGAAGATGACAAACGACCGGGTCGCCCTGTCACGGCAACAACCGAAAAAAACGTTGCGAAAATTAATGAAATTGTTCGCAAAGATCGCCGATTAAGTATTCGGATGATAGCAGACATGGTGAACATTGATAAAGAGAATGTTCGACAAACTTTACACGACCAATTGAACATGCGCAAAGTCTGCGCCAAAATGGTTCCCAAAAACCTCAGTCAGGAACAGAAAGACATCTGGAAACACATGTGCACAAACTTCATGGAACGAATCACAGCGGAATCTGACTTGCTGGAAAAGATCATCACATGTGACGAGACGTGGATTTTCCAGTACGATCCTGAAACAAAGAGACAATCGATGCACTGGAAAACTCCCACGTCACCGAGAATGAAGAAGGCAAGACAGAGCAAGTCGAAGGTGAAGGCAATGCTGATTGTGTTCTTCGATATCAATGGCGTGGTCATGGTTGAATGGGTACCACAGGGTCAGACAGTTAATCAGCAGTATTACCTTCAGGTTCTGACTAAGCTGAGAGAACGAGTGAGGAAGAAGAGGCCCGAGTTGTGGAAGAACAACGCGTGGATTCTCCATCAGGACAATGCTCCCGCACACAATGCGCTGTCGGTAAGCTGTTTCTGGCCGATAAGAAGATCCCAGTGCTGGACCACCCACCCTTTTCGCCGGATTTATCTCCGTGCAACTTTTACCTGTTTCCTAAGGTAAAATCCGCATTGAAGGGGACCCATTTCCAAACTGTGGACGAGGTCAAGGATAAAACGGCAATGCTACTGTAGGGGTCGACACATGATGACCTGCAGCATTGTTTCCAACAATAGAAAATTCCTCTCCAGCGATGAATAGATAGGGGAGGGGAGTATGTTGAAGGGGATACCAATTAAGTTGCAATATTGTAATAATAAACACACTTTTTGCTACCAGTCTCGTTATTTAATAGCCACACCTCGTATGTGTGAGAAAATGGAGTTTAGTTTTTCAGAATATCATTGAGAAACTCGTTTAAGTTAGAATTTTGTGAAAGAAGAGCCCCTTTGAGTTAAGAATTAATTTAGAACAACTTTAAAAAAATAAGAAAAAACAAAATAAAAATAAAATGGCCAGAGCAGTGCTCCCGTCCCCGTCGGTCTGGCCGGACTTAGACAAATAAGCACTAACAAAAAAGCACATAAAAGAACAACAGCTATATTACTCCTAAAAAAAATATCCCGGGCAACCCAGCTTGTAATCTATAACCCAGTGATACTTCAAATCCCTAGAAGGTATCAGTTGATGACGAAATGTAAGTAGGAATTTAAATATATTTAGGAATCACTCATGGCATTCTTTTTAATCCACTCGATTGCTTCAGGAGAGGCGGCATTGAAAAACCATTATCACGCCTGCAGCAACGTTTCTTGCAACTGGTCTTTAGCTTGCGTGACTCGAAGGTCATGCCTTTTTGGCCTTGCCCATCGGTCAAAGTTTTCGTTTCGCAGATGAAATGTTATCATTACGGACTAGGCCCTCCAGCAATTTCTTGTTTTGAGTAAACGCCTCTCTTGAGAAATTTTTTTAAATCCCAGCTAGCGATTCGGGGCTACCGCAGAACCTCCATTTAAGGAAATGTTTCTTAAATAGGTTCGGCATTAAATCGGTTCTCACACGTCCGAGCAGGAAGCAAATTAAGTCGACCGATTTTTCTTTCATCTTTTGTTGGAAGCCTGAGGTTTGCACCTGAGTTGGGTGATTGTTCCCAGGAGAAAATGTTCTATAGAATTTCTATACAGAGTGCCTAAAGAGATTCTATAGAGACTTTTGTAGAAAAATCTACCATATTTCTATAGAATTTCCATAGAATAATTCTATAGAGATTATATAGAATCTCAATATAGGGAGCTGAAAGAGATCACACAGAAACTTCTGGTAGTCTTAGGATTTCCTTAGGGCAATACTTCACAGATCCATTTCCACTCTAATGAAGTCCTGTAGGACTACCTAATCCATGATTTCCCTAGATATAATAATTTTATTTGCTTTGAGATTATGCAAACCATCTACAAGAAGCACAACAATCTGGGTATTAAAAATTCACTGAATGATATTGATAGGGTACATCTCCAATTAAGGAAAACTTAAGATGACATATGATCTCTTT